AACCACTAAGGAAAGCTAGCTGAGCAGGAGGATTACAAGGCTGAAACAAGGCTGAGGCAAGCCTGGGCAACTTGGCCAGACCCTGTCTCAAAATAAAATAAAGAGGGCCAGGGATGTAGCTCACTGGTAGAGTGCTTGCATTACATGCACAAAGCATTTTATCCCTAGTACTGCCCCCAAAAGAAAAGAATTGTAACTGTAGAAGACAATGTCCACAAAACTTAATAATCATAAATTGTAGAACAATGATATGAATCTTGTCTTTTGAAAAATGTATGGTATGGAAACAAATAACTGAGTTAAAGGCATGGGGAAGGAAGTCTAAATATATTGCTGTCTGCTACAAAAAGCATAATGTTGGGCTGGGGATGTGGCTCAAGCGGTAGCGCGCTCGCCTGGCATGCGTGCGGCCCAGGTTCGATCCTCAGTACCACATACCAACAAAGATGTTGTGTCCGCCAAAATGTAAAATAAAATAATCATTAAAAAAAAAAAAAAAGCATAATGTTAACTTTGTAAGTTTTAAAATCATATCTCTAAATTCTCATTCCACTCCTAATAACCAGCTAACATATGCATGTTACTAGTTCGAAATATTTTCCTAGGATAAAAATGTAAAAACAAAAGTGTGAAAACCCAGGCTGGGGCAGAGCACTTCTTCTTCTTTTTTTTTTTTTTTTTTTAACATATTAGTTCTTATTTTCCAAATCTACCTCATTTTTTTTTAACTTATTTTATGTGGTGCTGAGGATTGAACCCAGTGCCTCACATGTGCAAGGCAAGTGCCCTACCACTGAGCCACAACCTCAGCTCCCCCACCCCCGGGGCAGAGCACTTCTATGCATGAGACCTTAAGGTCTCATTGCTAACATGGCAGAAAAAAAGAAGTGTGAAAATTCATTTAGCACTACAGTAAAATTAACAAGTATTCATTACCATTATGCCAACATTAGTGACAATATATCTGACAAAATATTATTTAATGCTAAGTCTGAGTGTATTTACAATGTTACTAATTGAAAATTAAATTTAGGAAATGGAAATGGTAGAACATACTAAAAACACCATACCAGAATTAAAAATGATCAGTTATAAGCACTCTTCACTTTAATGCTTCTAAATGATAAACTGTGGAAACACCAGTATAATGGTTCACATGTCAAAGACTACAGAATCATAACACAAAAACATTGGAAAAAAAGAAATATTTACAACCAAGGTTAGGATTTCAATCATGTAAAAGCAATGTGGGCAAAAGAATGAAAATTAATTTAAATTCACTAAAGATAGCAAAATAACTATCAGAACAGATTATAACAGAAAGGCAACATAATCTTAAGAAAAATAAATTTGTATTCCATCAATTCTTATTAGTTACCAGGACCTCTGAAACAGCTTCTCTCCATGTTTTTATTAAAGGATTTCTCCACAACAATACAGTATAAAATGGCTACATCTTCAGGAAATCTAATTTTAACTGTTATCTTCAAATACCTGCCACAACTTTTAAAGTTTCAGATTTCAGAGCATTCCAGCTTTTGAATTAGAGGTGTTCAACTGGTGAAAACTATGCAAATACTCCAAACTCCCAATACCCCGAAATCTGAGTACTTCTGGTCCCAAGCATTTCAGATAAGGCACATTCAACCTTTATAAGCATCAAAACAATCAAAAATCCACTCACTACAAATTACCTGCACGAAAAGTTCAAGTCATTCTTTGGTGGCTATTTCAATGATTGAGTAAACAGTCAAAACAAAGACTGCTAAGAAGAAACCATATATCACATTTCCTTTTTTTTTTTAAGTCTAATAATCCAAACGAAATGACATTTATAAAAGAAAAACTAGAAACATAAGCTTTTAGCCCTGAAAGATTGTATGTATTACATCTTGCTTCTTATAGAAAGAATATTTCCAATAACAGGTTGCATTTCTCTTTACCAGAAATTGTGTTTTCTAAGGATATAACAGTGGCAGGACCCACTTACCTCCACTATAGGATGCTTACTCCTATTTTCCCTGGAGTCTGACTATCTGGGTTCACAGAGATCAGGTCAATGCCTATTCTCACTGAGTCAAGGACTATACATACCTATTTTTCAACTGTCTGTCCCATATTAATACTGCAACTTTCTAAAATTCCTAATGATCTTTGTTAAAAGTGACCTTAACAATCAAAGTACTATACCYTTTTAAAGCAGTGACCTCCAATTTGTTGTGGCAGAACACAAAAGGGCTAAGAATTATAGTAATAAAAATAAATAACAAAGGGAAGTTATGGATTAACCCTTTTCTTAGGCTCCAAAGGTGAGGGAGTAAGTTTTGATATTCAGAAGCTACTGAAGTAGTCAAACATCAAGAAATGGAAATGTTTGCAAAATAAAAGCAATGTGTTTATATTATGCATTAAAAATTAACAAGTAACCTGTATGTTCCTTTATTTATTTGAAATAGGTAGGTACCTTAGTTATAGATACAAGAAAAAGGATGTGAAATAGGGTCTCCTGCCTCTAGTGATGCTTTGATGACACCTAATTAAGAACATCTGGTTTGGAAGAACAGCCAAAGGAACCAGAACATAAAAAAATTAATTTTAAAAAGACAACTCTCAAGATTATTTGGAACTGTTAGGAGGAGTAAAAATCAAAGGAATAGGACAATAATGGAATAGGAAGTATAAAAGTCATTCCAAACATACCTACTACGGTATGAGAATAGTCTTCTAACCTAGCACAGTGGCACATACCTGTATTCCCAGCAGCTCGGGAGGCTGAGGCAGGAGGATCACAAGTTCAAAGTCAGCCTCACCAACAGTGAGACACTAAGCAACTCAATGAGACCCTGTCTCTAAATAAAAATACAAAATAGAGCTAGGGATATGGCTCAGTGGTTGAGTACCCCTGAGTTCAATCCCCAGTACCACCCCCCCTCAAAAAAAAGGGTTTCTACTCAGAAATTTAAGTTCAGAAGTAATCCTCAAATTTGTACCTTTCAAAAGAAAAGGGGTCACTGTCTTCATAGCCATTCAGCATAAAATATGTTAAAAAAGTCTTTTTAAATCAATTTAGAAAATAGAATTCTGCAAGATAAATAAGCTGTTTAGAATCTAAAACCACTATTTGTATTTATAAATTTCCAGTTAACTGATTCTGAAATTTTGATTTTTAATCTCTCATAAATCAAATATGTATTACAAATGTTTCCTGCTACCAACAAACCAACAATTTCTTTAAACCAGAAGTTGCCTACTGACAATTCAACTCTTCAGGTTAATGTCTAGTTGACTATTCAATGACTTCTTCTTCCTTATCTGCTATTTCTGTTCCCTATCCACTCCACAAGCATTCTGGTTCAAACCATTCTTAGTGCTTTTCTTGATGTTTGCTCTCCACCATTCATATTTCAACCCCGAATATTCAACAACTTGAAACATTACAAGTCTGAGACAGTAAGCAATCCATCTGAGGTATTCACTGTCCCTACAAATCCTTGATAATTTTTCAGAATTAAATAACTTGTTGAGTTTAAGTCATTAACAAAAGAACACAAATGACTAATACTAAAAATTTAAGAAAACGGATGGTAATATTGCCAAGACAACACATAATTCAATCCTAAAGTTCAAACTGATCAAACCTCCTTAAGATCAAGAGTTTTGGATATCAAAAGGTACACTGGATTTGGCAAGTCCAAATGTTTACTTAGAAACTTTGTTCACAAGCCTAAGACTATATTAACTGCCAAATATGGAGATGGACAAGGATTTACCATCATCTCCCACTTTAGTAGACTGTGTTCCCTTAACTGCTATTAATGGTTCCTAGATCAGGTACTTGCAATTCTAACGTTTGAAAGACTAGAATGAGGCATTGTGCCTTTAACCTAAAACCAGTATTTTAACCCAAGTTAATGTCAATCACATTTCGGGAAATAATGGGACAACTTTCCTATTACAGCTTAAGTGCACGTGCAAAAGCACCTTGCCAAAATTCCGTTAAAAATTTAGTTACATCTTGGAGGAAAATCGATCTATGCGGAAAATTGTAGACGCGAATCTATATTCGCCCCAAAGCAGCATAGGGCCATCTTAAGAAATGTGCTTTTAGGGACGCAGGAAAAATTCGATCTGATTCCACTAACAAAATTCACAATCTAGGGAAGCTTAACTTCCCCTCCGTCCCCCTTGCTCCACGAAGGGAGAAAAAAGTGGAAGGAAAGAAACCCATTCCCCAAAACACCAAAATTTCTACTCCTGGATCAACAGAGGATCCTCTGCATAACAAGGGGACGGAAGAAGGCACGCGTTAAGACCCTAGTATCCGAACGCGTTCGGAATAAACCCGAAGAGAGGGGGGGTGTCATAGACGCCGGAACACTAAGCTCCGGGCAAGCGAAGCGGCGGCTGCCTTCAAACCGGGATTCTGTTTCCTTGCACAGAAATGGTGCCCGGAGGCCGCTACTTTCGCATCTGCGTCGCTTCTGCCTCCGCCGACACAGCCTCTTTTCCCCTCCCCCACGGGCGGGGCGGCGACCGCGTCCCCACTCCGAAGCAACCAGGAATAAGAGGCGCAAATGACTTGGAGACAAGGCTGGTGGCCTCCCCAGCTCACAACATCTCTAGAAAGCCCACTCCCCCGTTTCCCGCATTAAGCTTTCATCGCTCCTTCGGGAGCTGCTGAGTCCCTCTGACCACCTCGCCATCTCATCCCTATACCAAATCCTAGCCCCACCTGTGCCCTCGGAGACCTCCGTCCGCACCACGCGCACTGGTCACCTTCCTTCCTACGAGGCCTCCCATTCCTCACCTTTTGAGGAAAGGCTTGGGTTCTCTCACGCACACACCGCAACGTAGGCAGCCGGTAAGAACAATGTCTCTCTGCCGCAACACCTCGGACACCAGAGCTTACACACTGGACGGTTGCCGCGAGCCGCGGAGCGCGAAGGAAATGTCCCCTTCCGACCACCACACCGACCTCCCCTCCCGGCCCCCGTACACACCTCCAACCAACAGCGGCGGCGGGTACGTCGCGCGGAGGTGAGCAGGAGAGTAGCCGAGGATCGGCTGCAGCGGATTCTTCTCGCTCGCTGCCTCCTCCCCGCGACAAACCAGAAGCCTCGGAAGCCAGAGAACCGTGAGATTGCTTCCCTCACAACCACCTCTTCCCGGGCGCCAGATGCTGCGGCGAACGACAAGGAACACGGACGTCCCGCCCCCTTTGCCACCGCCCCCTCTTATTGTTTTACCCCTGCCGAAAGGGCCAGGGAACCCCCCAGCACAGCGTCAGCCAATCACGCATCTCCTTGGCAAGCCGGACCCAACCTTCTCGCGTCCCTCTGCGGAGCAGGCGCAGTACGCCGCCGCGCTCGCGTACACTGGCGCCCGGAAAGCCGGGGAACCGGAACCGGCCTAAAGCCGGGGAGAGAGTCCGCTGATTTGACGTCACAAGGAGGCCGCTTTCTCCAGCGTTGGGGCTCCAGCCTCTCTGTCCTTCTTCCAGATGGCGCGAACAAGAGCTGGTTCCCTGCGGCGCAATGTCTTGCAGACTTATATTCCTGGTCCCTTTAGTAATGTTAATACGGAGAGAATTTAGTAATCTCTCTGAACTAGGTGTTTTCAGTTTGCTACTCTAGAGGAGCTTTAAGTCGAGCCTGTGGTTTCAGCTGTTTATACACAAAACTCATTTATTAATACATTCTAGGAAATAGAAGGTTATATCCTAATGGTTCAAAACAATTTAAGTTGCAAGCCTACTAAGTGCTAGGCCCTGGGGTACTGGAAAAATGTGACATGGTCTCTACAGAAAGAAAGTATTTTGTCCGTTATGTATTTACKCATAGCTAAGTACATATTAAGCATTTTATGGTATTAAGGCTAAAAGGTTTGAAATCCCAGGAAATATTAAGATTACAATCTTGTCCCACTTCTAGGACCAGTCTTGCCCCCAGGACTTAACGATGGACAATGACTCCTGGTTTTGATTACTGGAAAACCAAATCTTTAAAGATGCCACTTTATCCCTTTCTGGAAACTTATTTTCAGAGAACCTCGGGACAGCGGAAGAATTTTGGAATGCAGAGAAGTAAAAAGGGCGATTACGAAAGAAATAACATTAATGCCTACGTACCAAACATGATGCAAACATACAAGTTTCATCAGTTTTTCTTAACAATCCTAAAAGGATGATTTTAACTTACTTTACAAATGTAAAAACAGGTGCACAAAAGCAATACCAACTTTGGGGCCTCCAAAATCTACAATGGCTTTACCTTATATTACTTAATATTCTTGTTGTTGCAAAATATATGGGCAAACCATCTCTTTTATTAGCATCTCAATCAAGTAGAAAACTCTTGGAATAGACAATGRTGGCTTGGATTACTAGTAGCACTAATAGTGATGTGAAGTGTTTAATCCAGAACAAATGAAGGTAGAGGCTACAGACTTCAGTGACATTGGCTGTGTGGTATCAGAAAAGAGGGTATTCAAGGATGATTTCAAAGTTTTCAGCCTGAGTGACTAAATGAATCCCATTAATACTGGCTTCCCTGGCTAGTCTTTGGGAATTGGGTTGCTTCATGAAGGTTATTGAGATGTTCCTTAAAGTATAATACATTACATGCAGATTACCTTTTAAATAAAAAGCATAGTTCTAATTACTATTTTTATGCCCACTTAACAGATAAGGAAATTGAGGTTCCGGGTGTCAAGTAACTTACCCAAAGACACACAGCTACTATTTCAAACACAAGCAATCAACCTTCATAATCCATGTTCTTAACCATAAACTACATAGAACATTTCTACTGTATTAATTACCATATTTACTTATCTTCTCTACTGCTGACTAGCATTTTAATTGTTTCAAATTTGGTACTCATGTGTAATGCTGTTATAAATATTCACCATGTACTCTGATACAGTGGTTCTCAGACCTTATAGTGCATCAGAATCACCTGGAGTGTTTGTTAAAACATGCCTCTCAGAGTTTCTGATTCAGCAGGTCTATGCTAAAACCTGGTAATTTGCATTTCTCACAAGTTCTCAGGTGATGTTGCTACTGCTGCTCTAGAGGCTGGCAAACTTTGCTGTGAAGGCCCAAAGAGTAAATATTTTAGGTTTTGAGAGACGCATGTGTTGTGGTCTTTGTTTCATATCCTGATCCACACCCCTTTATAAACCTTTTTCAAATGCAAGAAACTTTCTTAGCTTAGCTCTAGGGCTATACAAAAGCACATTCAAACAACCCCTAGTCCAGGGTTTACACCAAAAAGTGAATTGACTGGGAAAAAGAAGATTCGGCTATCTTCAGTTTTAGTAAGTAACTCTAGCCTATTCTCCTAAGTAGTCCTCTGAATACCTCTGATAGTACTGATAGCCTCTTCCCAGGTTCAGGCTCCTTTCAACATTTTAGGATGATTGCAGTAGTTGCTTAATTAACCTTCCTGCCTCTCAAAATAACCTCCAGGAAGCAACCCAATTCCCAAAGACTAGCCAGGGAAGCCAGTATTAATGGGATTCATTTAGTCACTCAGGCTGAAAACTTTGAAATCATCCTTGAATACCCTCTTTTCTGATACCACACAGCCAATGTCACTGAAGTCTGTAGCCTCTACCTTCATTTGTTCTGGATTAAACACTTCACATCACTATTAGTGCTACTAGTAATCCAAGCCACCATTGTCTATTCCAAGAGTTTTCTACTTGATTGAGATGCTTTCAATTTTATTTCATTATTGTCCATCTCCCTCACAAGAGCCAGATCCTTTACAGCAGTAAATCAGATGAGATCCCCAAAATCTTCCAAGGGCAATACAAATATCAAGTACTTACCATGGCCTACCAGCCTACCTCATCTAATCCTTACCCATTACTTCCACCTCTCTTCTTACCATTATTCCTCTTATACCATTCCAGCTCCTCCTCTGACATTCCAATTACATTCCCACCTCAAGGCTTTAAATGTGAACCTTTAGCAAAAGCCTGAGAAAAATCAAAGCATTTTAGACCCACTGATTTCCTCCAGTACCCACATTAAAATATCTTAAGAACTGGGAGTATAGCTGAGTGGTAGGGCACTTCCCTAGCATACATGAGGACCTGGGTTCAATCCCTAGCATTGCAAAAAAGAAAAAAAGAAAAAAAAAATCTCACTCAAGCCTTCTAAAGGTGAGTTAGATATGAGTTCCCCTTATATAAAATCCTTAAAATTTCAATTAACTTCACACTACTTAAATCATCTATTAGCTTGTCTATATTCTGTAATTGTTTTGCATTCTCTCTTATAGTTCATAAATTCTCATTTTTATAAAAATATAAGCTAAACAACAGTCTATATGTTCTCTGTTGTCAGATGTCTAGTTAGTAATAGCTTAGAAGAGTCTTTAAAATCATTCAGTAGCCACCACTGAATGACACAACATCAAGCATAAAGGCTCAGGATGGGCAAATGTAATGGAAATATAGTATCCTCAGAGAACTGGAAAAGATGGAGAGAAGCAGCAATACGGGAGGAGAGAAGAAACAAACACAAAAAACAAGGAGAGACAGAAAGGGAGAGGCAGAGAAAAGCAACAGGGAATAAATTTAGAATAAAAGTTACTGTTAAGTGATAGTCCATTAGAAACACTGACTAGTACTATTTGAATTTATCTTTTAATATCTGATAACCCTTCTTGCCCTCTACACACATATACATCCCAGTAAGTCTCAAGAAGGAAGAATTCTCTTGGCCTCTTGGATTCAGCACCTGTTATGGTCACACTGAAAATGCTCTATATGGGCTGGGGATGTGGCTCAAGCGGTAGCACTCCCACCTGGCATGCATGCAGCCCAGGTTCTATCCTCAGCACCACATACACACAAAAGATGTTGTGTCCGCCGAAAACTGAAAAATACATATTAAAAAAATTCTCTCTCAAAAAAAAAAAAAAAGAAAAAAAGAAAATGCTCTATATGCATATGATGACTTGTCTGACCACTGTGGGAAAACAGAGAGAAAGCAGTGTTTCTCCTGAGCTTTGAGTATTTTTAATGTTTTGGCTCTAAATTCCAGAACAGTATATGATGTGTTTATTGTTATTCTTTCTTGATTAATACTTTTTTTTTTTTTAAGGCTGTGGATTTTCCCTTCCCAATACTTTAGGTCAAATCCCGTAGATTTTATTCACTATTGTTTTCTAAACAGATTGCAAATGTAGTTAGACTTCTTTGATTCAGTTATTATTTAAAGAGAGTTAATGGAGAATAACTAAACATTTTTATTTTTAAATTTAAAGATTTTGGGGGTAAAAATGGGAGTTCATAACCCACTTGAATCAAATGTATGAAATATATGTCAAGAGCTTTGTAATGTTTTGAACAACCGATAAAAAAAAAAGATTCTGTTTTGCTTGTTAATTTTAATGTATTATGAGCTATGAGTGCAGCCTACTTGTTAATGCTTTTTGGAATTTGCTAAGATTTTTCATGTAACCAAATATAGGTACAATTTTTTTAAGTTGTTCATAAAACTCTAGTACATTACAATCACCTTCTTTCATTTTTCCCTTCCTAATAGTTTTTGCATTAGACATTTTTATTTTTCTATTTGAAATAAATTCATAGATCCTGAAAAGTTGCAAAAAGAGTTTTTAAAAATCCCATACCTTTCACCAACCCTTCCTCAAATGTTAATATGTATTATATTTACTTTATCATTATCTTTTTCTCTCTCTCTCTCTCAGTAAGCTGCCAATTCCCTAAGTTCTTTGTATTTCCACTGTCTCATCCTGTACCTAGTACTGTGCTTGATATATTGGCGCTCAATGGTAATTACTGAATGAGTGAATCCAGGAGTTTCAAAGAAACCCATGGGCACTCTGCCAGACAACTAGTGAATTGCCATGTGACTTCTATCCATAAAAAAGAATCCAGACAACACTGTATTTCACAACTAGAAGAAATCTGATTTCAAAAAAATTTATGACATAATGTACCTTTACTCCTAAACACTTCAGTGTGTTTAAAGATAAAGGTATTCTCTTATGTAAATAAAACATAATTATCAAAATTAGGTATTAACATTAATTAAGAAATTCAAATTTCATCAATTGTTCAAATAATATACTCTATAAGAAAAAAATTTTAATTTATTCTCTTTTCAGGATACAAGTCAGGATTACAAATAATATTTACTTATCATGTCACCTTAGTCTTGTGTCATCTGTTTCTCCATCTTTT